GTCTCTTATTTTGTATGTATCTCTAAAGGTATATGTGCCCCCCACATTACCTTGTCTCTTATTTTGTATGTGTCTCTAAAGATATGTTGTCTCCCCTAAAAGAATGTAAAGACCTCGGGTCAGAGACTGTTTCACTTTTGACTTTGTGTCCCCAGTGCCTTGCATAATGCCTGGAATCCAGTAGGTGCCTTGTAAATGTTTGTTGATTAATTGATTGAATTTCAAAAACATACTAACCTTCAGCTTGGTTCCCACATTCATTCTTGCCTGTTGCCCCAGAGCTAGAAAAGAGACCACAACCTTGTCTTGATCTAATATCCGGATGCCCACATAATTGTTTAAAGACAGAAATATTGGTTTAAATGAAACAAAGGGCAATGAAGTCATGGTACTGGACCACTTCCAAGTCCTCACTCGGTTGCCTTCTTGGTCTGAAAATTGCCCTCCCAAGAGGTTGATGTTAATCCTAAAAGAAAAAAAAAAGCAAGAAAAAGAATGTAAGCATTCTAAAGGTCAGCCCTTCATGGTTCTAGAGGACTTTAAGATTTCCACAGTCCTTGCCTCCCAGAGACCTTGTGGTTAAGGTGGTGCAATAAACATTCTGCCCATTTTACAGATGGGGAAGCTCTGAGGGGTTAAGTAAATTGCTCATGGTTACACTGCTCTTAGGCAATGGAGCTGGCACTCACACTCAGGTGTAGTGATTCAAGGGCTAGTATTCTTTCTTTTGTTGTTGTTTTTGTTTGTTTGTTTGTTTGTTTGTTTGTTTGGCTTAGGCGATCAGGCTTAAGTGACTTGCCCAGGGTCACATAGCCAGTAAGTGTTAAGTGTCTGAGGCTGGATTTGAACTCAGGTCCTCCAGATTCCAAAGCCAGAGCTCTGTCCACTGCGCTGCCTAGCTGCCCTGGCAGTATTCCCCCCAAAGTGAAGGACAATTTATGCCAACCAATGGTGCAAGTCAATTGCATCTTAGAACCACCTCTTCTCTCCAGAAGCTTAAACACATTTGGATTAGAATCTAAATTTTGCTTTATAATTCTGAATGAAATAGGGTTTTTTTTTTTTGGTGTTTTGTTTGTTTGTTTGTTTGTTTTGCTTTTTGGTGAGGCAATCAGGGTTAAGTGACCTGCCCAGGGTCACACAGCTAGTAAGTGTCAAGTGTCTGAGGCTGGATTTGAACTCAGGTCCTCCTGACACCAAAGCCACCTAGCTGCCCCATGAAATAGTTTTGAACTACCAGGGATGTCCCTCAATGTGATGCATCAGTAGACAAATTCACATGGAAGCGGGGGGAACTCAAAAAACATACCAAATGTTTCCATTGGGATAGTAGCAAGTAATTTTGCCACCGGAATCAAGTATTGCCCTAATTGCAGGTTTATTTGTTGTATCTTCTTGGATCACACAGATTAAACCATTTATCTTGTTGGTCACAACGATGGCTGCTAAATTTCCTGAGGGGTAGCTGGGACCAGATAAGGACAAGTGAGTCATTGAAAGATTGACCATCTTCTTCCCCAACTGCCCCAATTCCGTTCCACTCAACATACAGTCTGCTACACTGCTGGGGGAGACCACAAAAATGATTTGGTCCCTGCCTTCATGGAACTTAGAAGTTGGGAAGGGGTTTGACATGTATAGAAAGCACTAACACAGAAATTGGAACAGGCAACATGCATAAGAAAGATGTCAACAACAGGGGCAGCTAGGTGGCACAGTGGATAGAGCACCAGCCCTGAAGTCAGGAGGATCTGAGTTCAAATCTGGCCTCAGACCAAACACTTGACACTTATTAGCTGTGTGACCCTGGGCAAGTCACTTAACCCCAATTGCCTAAAAAAAAAAAGTTAACAAAGGGCTATTTTGAGGTCTGAGGAAGGAAAGATCATTTCCAACTGTGGGGACCAAGAGAAGGCTATCTTGAAGAGGTGGATCTTGAAGGATGGATAGGATTTCAACAGACAAAGATAGGAAGAGGACTTTCCAGACATAAGAAATAGTGGAAGCAAAGGGTTGGAAACATGAGGGGTGGGCAAGTGGTCCAATTTAACCATCTCACAAAGCACATGGAGGGCACAGAGCACGTGGAGGGCAGGATAGCACCAGATTGTGAAGGGCTTTGGATAACAGGCTAATGGATGTGAACTTTGTTTGGAAAACAATAGAGAACCATTGAATAACTTTGTAAGGAAGATTCATCTGGGAGTCAGGGTATGAAGACCCATTGGGAGGCCATTGTGAGAGTCCAGGTGGGCAGTAGTTGATATTTAAGCAGTTGATATTTAAGTACTTCACAACCTCCCAAGGACGTTGTGAAGATAAAATGAAATAATATTTGTAAAGTGCTTTAAAAACCTCAAAGCACTATAGAAATGCTATTTATTTATTATTTTCTAATCTTTCCAGTCTTTTAAAAAATTCTTTACTCTCCTCCACATTCTTCACACACAACACTCCACCTCCTGATTCTGTGATTTTGCGCAGCTGTCCCCTCTGCCAGGAGAAGCCTCCGCCTCTTAGTTCCCCTGGCTTCCTTTGAGGGTCAGTTTATAGACTGCTTTTTACTGGAGGCCTTTCCTGATGCCCTATTGCTAGTGTCTTCATCTGTATCTATATCCACACATTATATATGCACCTGTTATTTCTATGTACACCTGTATGTATAGGTGTGTACATGTATGTACATGTCTGCATAGGTATACAGATATATACCTGTGTATCTACAGGTATGTATATGTATACACACATGCATACATACATACACACACACACATATATATATATATATATTTACAGAGTTGTTTCCATGTTTTGTCCCCTCTCTAGAATGTGAGCTTCTCAAGGGCAAGGAACAATACTTTTGCTTTTCTTTGCATCCCCAGAATATGGTACTGTGCCTGGCACATAGAAAGCACTTCATAAATGCTTGTTGACCAACTAATAGGAGCCCCCAAACTGGTGAGATCCCAGGTCCTTTGTGTATGATTCTAGCTGATAATAATGAATTATCTAAGGAGTTTCTCACAGAGTTGATGTGAACATATCACAGAATTACCTTAAAATCTGATACAGTTTTCAGAGAAGTCAAAAAGAGTTGTAACCAGGACACAGAGTAATAATTAATTATAATACATAATCATATTACATTATGTAATTAAGTATGATTAATAATATGTTTAAAAACCCATTTTTCTGACAATCTGTTACTGGAGTTGGGCGAAGGTAAAAAGATCCTTTCAACAACCCTGACTAGAAAATACCATGTACTAGGAAGAAAATTCACCAAAGGCCTCCATATTTCAGAAAGTTTTTTTTGCCTCCTCTCTCCTATGAAGAATGGACTGGCCCACCACCATGGGGACAGTCAATTAGAGCTCCCCCCAAAGGCATCACAAATGAATGGTGAAGTTAACAATTATATACAACAAAAAGGATACAATATTTGGGCTGTGCCATCTGAAAACATGGTCAGGAACTTTCCTCCGTGTTTGTAATGTTTTTCCAGGAATTCCTTTTCTATTTTCTGTGCACCAAGGATAAGGAAAGGACATTTAGCTCTCAATGACTATGGAGATCACACCTATCAAACAAAGGCTACAGATACCAAGGTTTGCCTAATCGTGTCACTAGATGCAAAGTTTCAATTCTTTGTCTCTGCCACTAAAAACAAGTCTTAGCGATTAATGAGTCTATGGACATTAAAAGTGTTTCCCCAAATAATATTCATAAACAGCAATTATGAAATCTATTAGGGTCACAGATTGAATTAAAAGGGACCTTCCAGGCCATCTAGTCTAACCCATACTCAAATAAGAATCCCGTCTATGATATAGTCAACTTACAGTCTTTCAGCTTTTACGAAACATCCTCTAGGGAGGAGAAATGCAGTATTTCCCAAGATAACCCCATTCAACTTCTGGATAGTTCTAATTGTTTGGAAGATTTTCCTTAAATGAATATGAAATTTGCCTACTTTCCACCCACTGTTCCTGAGGCCAACCTGAATGGATCTGCCTAATCAGTCTTCCACGTGATAGCTCTTCAAGCAGTTGAAAATAGCCATTAGCATTATCTTCAAGACTTAAATTTAAGCTAAGGAAAAATTAGAAAGTGGCTAACAAGATGAAGAGATGCAAACTGGGAAAGTAGATTTTTTTTTAACATTCACTTTTTAAGGAAAAATGTGAGTTTCAAATTCTCTCCTTCCCTCTTGCCCCACTCCCACCCATTGAGAAAGCAAGCAATATTATATCAATTATACATGTGAAGTCATACAAAACATTTCCATATTAGCCATGTTGCAAAAACAAAACAAAACAAAACAAGAAACATAAAGAAAACACACACAAAAAAATTATACTTCAATCTGCACCTAGAGTTCATCAGAGCTTTCTCTGGAGGCAGATAGCATTTTTCATCATGGGTCCTTTGGAAGGAAGTAGAGATAACTTTGAGAGGTAATGGCCAGGCCACCATCTTTGTTTGTGAAGAGAAGGAATGCCAGGTTTAAGTCTATGTTTACTCAAGAAACTTCAGAAGCTGAAATTTCAAATCTTTCAGAGAAGAGATAAGTAGGCTTCTATGACTACAGTCTCTTAATAGGGACTTAAATATCAATCTATCCCCCCACCTCCACCTACATGACCATTACCCCATTTCTGGCCATCAGCTCTTCTAGCCTAGACTGCTGTGATTAGAATTGCTCTGTTTCCAGTCTCTTTCTTATGCCATCCATCCTCCGCTCTGCTGCCAAAATCATCTTCTGGCACATGTCTGACCTTGTAACTTCTTAGCCAGAAAGTCTACGGTGGTGCCTTACTGCTACCAAGCTGAAATACATCTGCTTAGCCTAAGACTTAAAGCATCTCAGTGTGGCTCCCACCTTCATTTCTAGAATTCTACCCATTCCCTTCCCATAATTCATATTTCAGCTAAGCTGACCTACTGAGCTTAACCTCAGGACCTTTGCATGGTCTGTCCCCTATCTCTGGAATATACTTCTTTACCCTCACCTATTTTTACCTTCCATCAAAACTTGAATTCGAGTGCCCCATCTGATGTGAAGTCTTTCCGATTCCCCTGGTTGTTTGTGCTTGCTCCCTTCTCAAATTACCTTGTATTTATTGGTATCTGTATACATTATGTACTGTAGTGTGCTAGTAAATGTTTGACAACCAACTTTCTGGAAAAAAATATACTCAGAACACATTTGTAAGTTTCATCTGCATTATTAACTCCCCCCCCCATAACTTTCTAAAGTCTGTCTAGACAATCAACAAAATAATTAATGAAATCCTGATTTGTAGCTTGCTGATTTCTGAGGTGTAAATGCTCTCGCTGAAGATTTGGTAGTCAATTTTGGAGAGGGGTCTGAGCTGGCTCTAGCACACCCCTCGTTATATGCCCCTGATAAAATGTATGCTCTTTAAAGGCAGGGGCTGTTATGTTTTTGTATTATCTCCAGAGCATAGTTCAGGACTGGGGGTGGGGTACAGAAGGTACTTCCTTGGAGGTATCTAAATGTGTAATGGACTGCTCTAGGAGGTGGCAGTTTTCCTTTCATTTAAGATTCTCAAGGGAAGGGTGAATAACTACTTCCTAAGGATAGCATATCTATTCTCTATACAGTTGCCCTCCTCCCCTCTTTCTACAAAGCACAAGTCTAAACTTGACAATTCTCTGCTCAAAAAACTGTTGGCTCTCTACTTTCTATATAGCATTTAAGTCTGACATTTTAGGCATTCTGAACTCTGGCTCCCATCTACCTACCTTTCTGGCTTTATTTCATGCTCATTTTATCCCCTTCATGAACTGTACATTACAATAAAAATGGTTCACTAACCACTCAAATACAACTCTCTATTTCCCACTTATATGAGTTTCCAAAAGTCTAGAATGGGGTCTTTCCTCATCCCCAGCTCTCTGAATCCTTTTCCTTCTAGATACAACTCAGTTACCACCTTTTCACAAAGCCTTCCTTTCCTCCCCTTCTACTCCTCCAGTTAGTTTTTAATGCTCTCTCTTGCTTCAATTTTTCTTGTAGAAGAATGTAAGGTCCCTGAAGGCAGAAATTATTGCTTTTGTTTTCATATTCCAGCGCCTAATACATGGTAGGCACTTAATATTTGTTGTTGTATCATAGAGGAGATTCTCAGTTTGTCAAATTGAACTGAAGTTGGCTCAAGAGGGATGGTGGGCTTAGTAAGAAAAAAGCAGTGATACCAATCACATCATAGCCAGTTCTGAGAAATGGAAAAGAGGGTAGTGTCTAAAGAGACAAATGTAGTTGAACAGGAAAATCAATTCTATGTACAATTCTTTGTCAAACTAAGATGTTTTAAAAGGCATCTTATTCTATGCCCAAAGGGCAATCAAACTGTGCATACCCTTTGACCCAGCAATACCACTGCTAGGTCTGTATCCCAAAGAGATCATAAAAAAGAGAAAAAGACCTACATGTACAAAAATATTTATAACAGAACTTTTCATGGTGGCAAAATATTGGAAATTGAGAGGATGCTCATCAGTTGGGGAATGGCTGAACAAGTGGTAGTATATGAATATAATGGAATACCATTGTGCAATAAGAAATAATGAGCAGACAGATTTCAGAAAAACCTGGAAAGACTTATATAAACCAATGCAAAGTGAAATGAGCAGAGCCAGGAAAACATTATAAATAGTATTAGCAACAATGTGTGATAATCAACTATGAATGACTTAGCTCTTCTGAGCAACACAATGATCCAAGATGAGCACAAAGGACTCATGATAGAAAATGCCATCCACATCTATATGAAGAACTGATGGATTCTAAATATGATTGAAGCATACTTTTTTCACTTAAATCTTTTTTCTTTTTTTTCCCTTTTGATGTTTCTTCTTCCACAACTGTTACTAATAGGGAAATATGTTTTACATAATTGCACATATATAACCTATATCAAATTGCCTACCATTTTAAGAAGAGGGGAAGGAAGGGAGGGAGGGAGAAAAATTTGGAACTCAAAATCTTGTAAAAATGAATACTAAAAATTGTCTTGGAATATAATTGGGAAAAACATAAAATACTTTTTTTTTTTTTAATAAGAGGCATGGTGCTAAACAGCAGTTTGTCTCCAAAATATCTGGGGTTTTCAGCTTATTACTCCAAGTTCAACATGAGCTATGAAACTTCTATAGCCAATTTTTTTAAAAAGGCTGAGTTTTGACCATCCCATTTTGAAAGGTACATTGATTAGCTAGAGCATATTTAGAGGACAGTTTCTAAGATGTTGAGGAAACAAGAAACTATACAATAGGTGCAGCTAGATGGTGAAGTGGATAGAGCACTGGCCCTGGACTCAGGAAGACGCGAGTTCAGATTTGACCTCAGACACTTGACATTTACTAGCTGTGTGAGACCCTGGGCAAGTCACTTCACCCCATTGCCTCACAAAAAAAAAAAAAATAGAAACTATACAATATGGCGATTGCTTGAGAGAATGGGGGGTGCTCTATCTTGGAGAAGAGAAGACTATGGGCAGGGGACATGATTATAGTCTTCAAGTGTTTCAAAGGTTGCTGTATATTAGAGAGGATTGTTCTGTTTGGTCCTGGAGGACAGAATTAGGTTTACTAGTTAGAAATTATAGACAGGCAGATTTTAGCTCAACATGAAGAAAAACTTCATAAGAAGTTAATGCCGTTCAAATGTGGAGTGAGAGGGGCAGCTAGGTGGCGCAGTGATTAGAGCACCAGTCCTGAAGTCAGGAGGACCTGAGTTCAACTCCGGCCTCAGACCAAACACTTGACATGTACTAGCTGTGTGACCCTGGGCAAGTCACTTAACCCCAATTGCCTAAAAAAAAAAAAGAAAAAAAAAGAAAGAAAATAAAAAAAAAACAAATGTGGAGTGAGTTGCTTTATAAGGCCAGGAGTTCTCTGTCATTGGAAGTCTTCAGAAAGAAGGTAGATGACCACTTGTTGGGAGTGTTGATTTAGGTAGCAGTTGGTTGAAATGATTGGTGAAGCCCTTTTCAACTCTGTCTACAAGTAGATGGTATCAAGAGATAGTATCACACTATTTTATTCCTGATAATGTTTATTTTATGCCTTTAAATAAATGCTCAACATGGGTTAGAAAAAGAAAAACCAAGTGAAAAGTGACAGAGAAAAATTACCTTTAAGCAAGGTAATATCCAAATATCACCAGAGTCAATAGAAAATGTACATTGTTCCTCAAGTGAATCAACTAAGTGCTCTTCAGTCGGTATTTTTATTGAGGGGTCCCGGGCTAGTTGGTACGTTATTGTCCTAAGCTGCTTTATATTACCTTAAAAAAGAAGCACATTTGAATACTTAGAAAAATTCTAACATCAATATGCAACTCAATACTTTCCCAGAAACTCTCATACAATAGAGAAGTTTAATTTGTGTTACAACTTTACAATACTAATTCTTCATGTATTTTAGTGGATTTTTTATTGAAGGAAAAAAAAAGAAGGAATGACATTGAATATGAGACTGCCCTTATCTATAATCTACTACAGTAGAACCTTCAATTATGTGGATTTTTTTTTTCTGGAACTCCATTTTTAGGAGAAAGAGACAAATTGAAAGAAAGCAAATTCATGTCTAGGATTGAGATTTTTTTTCCATGGTCACTATCCATTGAATCCAGTCTCTATCTCTAATATGATACAGTTAGAATGTATATTCCAAAGGTTGGTCCTTGAGGGTGTGTAGGACCCTCAACTAAAAAGAAAAGATTCAACTGTATTGGGGGACTGCCCTTAGCAAATGGCCAAAAACCAATTTAGAAAAGTTTTTCAATTAGAGTTGAAATACAAAAGGGTTTCTAATTAGCCAGAATTTCTAAGTAAACAGAATGGTCTACTGTCTCAGCATTTCAGTTGGTTGATCTTTTGTTGTCCTTGAAAAGATTTTTGCCCCTAATTGGCTCTGTGATCTCTTTAACATAGGCACTCCCTATCCAGACTTTCTCATCCATGTCCTCCCATAGCTCCTGACCAAAGAAGCTACCCACTATGCTGAAGGCCTTCTTCTAATATGTTTCTATCCTGAAGTCAACAACAAAGAGGTTGTTATTTAAAATACTGTCATCAAAGGTTTTTAATTTAATTTAATTTTTAATTATCTTGGGGTGCCCATTAGCTAGAATGAACTCACCCTCCTCTTGCTCATTTGACATGAATGCAAAGGTTCTGGCCATCTGTCTCTCTCGTTGTCTACGGAAATGAAAACACATGATACCAAGATGCAATTTGTACTTAGGTGATTGTGGATCCAGCAGACTTACCCACTTTTGATATCCTGGTGCAATCTATTATAATTTTAATTGGATGGGACCAACCAGGAAGTCTTGCTACTTTCTGAACTCCATGAGAGTAGGGCTTGTCTTATCTATCTTTGTGTCCCCAGGGATACAGAGGTGTGTGTGTGTGTGTGTGTGTGTGTGTGTGTGTGTGTGTGTGTGTCTGTGCATAGAATTATCCATTTAAATCTGGAAGGGACCTCAGAGGCCATTTCTGAGTCCAGCCCCTTCATTTTACAAAGAAGGAAACTGAAGCCCAAGAGGAAAGTGGACTTCTTCAAGGAAGTTGTATGACTTCCGTAAGGTCAGGTAATACATAGAATAGCCCAGATTCAAACCCATGTCCTCTGACTTCCCCTCTAGGGAACAGACCCTACAGCCACTAGATGGCCCATCTCTTTCTGGATGAGAAGCTCAGCTGCTAAATGCCATTGGGTCTTTGTACTTCATCAAAGTTCTGCTGTCTATAGTTAACATCTGAAGAACACGTGGCATCTAGGTGTTGGGAGCCTCCACTGGGGCTGATTCATGTTACCTCCGAAGGGCTGTTTCCTTTGCTTTGAGCCTCTCCTGCTCACTGCCAAAGGCTGCATGAGGCTGGATGGAGATTAAATCGGATTCTGGGTACATACTTTTGATTAGGTCCCTTTCATGGAGAACATATTCAAACAACCTCCTGAACTCAAGACAACAGAAGAGCTGGAAAACAAAGTTCTGTTTGTTAACTATCCATGAACTAGGCTGAAGGTTGGTTGAAAAATGAATGACCATCCATAAAATTACAGTTAAACCTTATAGGCACAGAAAGTTTTGTATGAAGTGATGCTGGTAGAGGGGTGGGGCTCAACTGAGTAAAGCAATCACATAATCCCATCCCACTTAAAGTAAGTTATAAACTGCTCTTCCTGATAAATGTATCAGATTCTTTCAACTGGACACCCGTGAGCATGGATGACTTGGACACCTCCTTAGATGTCAATGGAATCGTTTACTAATTGACTGAAGAAGTTAGTTTTGCCTCTGGGGATTTGCATAAAACCAGAGAGCTAAGAGGAATCAGAGAGTCAAGCAACTTGACATCGAGTTGTTCCAGGCCAAATGATTTCTTTGGGGAGACCAGGAAATGGGCACACCTTGGTCTCTTCCTTAGCCCATTAGCCTGAGGAAGACCTTTTTAGCTCTGAAAGGAATTAAGGATTTTGGACATGCCATCAGCATCCTAGCAACCTCTCAGGAACAGCTGATGGCAGCAGCTTTATTGAGAGCCAAGGACAGACAAAAAGCTAAAGGAAATGTCTTCTTCCTGAAGCTGTGAGTTACCTGTTTGCTACTGTGATCTCTAAACTTAAGCCTACTTTCCCCCTGGATTTTATGTGTGTATGGGACAATGAGTCATGGAGAGAAGCTCTGAGGTAACTATTCCACTAATTAAGTCTGACTAAAGAATATCAACCAACAATCACAGGGCACTGGAGGAAGCTTGTGGGCTAACTATGGCATTAGAAAAACAACCCTCAACCCCTCAGGGCTACCCTTAGAATCCTAAAGAGAAGTATAATATTAACTCTCTGGGGACTTTGATTTATTGGTGTGAATGGGGATTAAGATAGTTTCCTCAGGCCATGATAATATTTTGTAAATGTTTCCCTAGCAAACCTTTGTTTTGCAGGCTTTTCACACATCTTACATTCTCATAGCTTTCAGCGTCAAAGTCAATGTTATCCAGGGAAGGAAATGATCTCAGTTCACATCCACAAAACTCACAGCATGCAGAATACTCCATGTCCCACTGTTGAAAGAAATAAAAATAGCCAATAAGTGCAATAATATACAAAAGGGATCATAGGATCATATACCTCAAATTGGAAGGGATGTTTGAAGTAATTTATTACAAGTCTCTCATCTGTCAAATAAGAAAACCGAGGTCTAGAGAGGATAGGGGGATTGCCCAACATCTTCACACGTCAGTCAGTGACAATGTGAACATTTGAACCTGGGTCTGAGTCTGACTCAACCCAGTGCTCTGACCTGGGAAGGGGTCTAAGAAGTTATCTAGGTCAATCTTCTTATTTTGCATTTGAGGGAACTGAGGCCCAGGGACTTTCAATAAATTCAACAGACATTTGCTACTTGCCTACTCTGTGCTGTGGATAGAAAAGTCAATGGAACAACAGTCCTACTCTCTAGGTGCTCATGTTCTACTGGACACTTGCCCCAGGCCATAGGTTTGGTAGCAAACAGAACTGACCTTTGGCTCTCTGCATCCAAATTTAACATTCCTTCCCCTGCACAACCTGCTTTCTGGGAAAAGTGCCCAAAGCTGAAGTTCTATTTCCTCTCTGTGACTATAAAGTCCTCTGGTCGACTTGCTCCTTTTTCACCAGAACCACTAATAGATACATACACACAAATATATGTGTGTGTATATATATATTTACTAATTACTTTGGTTTTCTCCAACACTTTTATAAATATATATGCTCTTAAATTTAATGTTATATATCATACAATATAAAGTAATGTATTATATTGTTGAAAGAAAAATCTTCATCAGGGCTTTACCTAATAAATAAGACAAGCTAAGGAAAATGAGGCTAAAAGGAGTTTATTATCAGAGACAAGGCATATGATTTGTATGGGCCAAGGCCCCAACCTTGTTGTCGCTGTCGTTCAATTGTGTCTGATTCTTTGTGATCCCATTTGGGGTTTTCTTGGCAAAGATACCGGAGTGGTTTGCCATTTCCTTCTCCAGCTCATTTTTCCAAATGAGGAAATTGAGGCAAACAAGGTTAAATAATTTACCCAGGGTCATATAGCTACTAAGTGTCTGAGGTAGGATTTGAACTCAGTTCTTCCTGATTCCAGGCCTGGTGTTCTATCCAGAGATACTTAATTGCCCTTGCTTAACCTTTTAAAGACAAATTTTCCTAACAAGAGAAGTTAATTCTGATAGGTTTACAATTCAAAAGGGGATACACCAGCGTTGAGTTTATAGTGCAGGTAGGATGCTGATTTTTTTTATTAACTTATTTTGAGTTATCAATAATGACTTCCATAAGCTTTTGAGTTTAAAATTTTTCTCCCTCTCCCTCTTCACCTCCCTCCCCAAGGTGGCATACAATCTGATAAAGGCTATACATATAGATTCCTATTAAACATATTTTCACATTAGTCATGTCGTAAGGAAGAATTAGAACCAATAGGAAGAACCACAGGAAAGAGGAAACAAAACAAAACAGAAGAAAAAAAAGGAGCAAATAGTGTGCTTTGATCTGCATTCAAACTCCATAGTTCTTTTTTTGGATGTGGATAGCATTTTCCATCTTGTGACTTTTAGAGATGTCTTAGATCCTTGCATTGCTGATGAGGGCTAAGTCTATCAAAGTTAGTCATCACACAATGTGGCTATTACTGTGTACAACATTCTCCTGGTTCTGCTCACTTCACTCAGCATCAGTCCATACAAGTCTTTCCACGTTTTTCTGAAGTCAGCCTGCTCATCACTTCTTATAGCACAAAAGTATTCCATTACATTCATCTACCACAACTTGTTCAGTCATTCCTCAATTGATGGGCATCCCCTCAAGTTCCAATTCTTTGCCACCACAAAAAGAGCTGCTATAAATATTTTTGTACATGTGGCTCCTTTCCCCATTTTTATAATCTCTTTGGGATACAGCCCTAGAAGTGCTATTGCTGGGTCAAAGGGTATGAACATTTTTATATCCTTTTGGGCATAGTTCCAAATTGTTCTCCAAAATGGTTGGATCATTTCACAACTCCACCAACAATGCATGTGTTCCAATTTTCCCACATCTTCTCCAACATTTATCATTTTCTTGTTTTGTCATGTTGGCCAATCTGATAGGTGTGATGTGGTACCTCAGAGTTGTTTTGATTTGCATTTCTCTAATCAATAGTGATTTAGAGCATTTTTTCATATGATTACAGATGTTTTTAATTTTTTCATCTGAAAACTGCCTGTTCATATCCTTTGACCATTTATCAATTGGGAAATTACTTGTATTCCTATAAATTTGACTTAGTTCTCTATATATTTTAGAAATGAAGCCCTCATCAGAGATATTGGTTGTAAAAATTCTTTCCCAGTTTTCTGCTTCCCTCCTAATCTTGGTTGCATTGGTTTTGTTTGTGCAAAAACTTTTCAATTTAATGTAATCAAAATTATCAATTTTGCATTTCATAATGTTCTCTATCTCCTGTTTGGTCATAAATTCTTCTGTTCTCCATTAATCTGACAGATAAACTATTCCTTGCTCTTCCAGTTTGTTTATAGTATCAGCCTTTATATCTAAATCATGAACCCATTTTGACTTTATTTTGGCATATGGTGTGAGATTTTGGTCTATGCCTAGTTTCTGCCATACTCTTTTTCTAGTTTTCCCAGCAGTTTTTGGCAAATAGTGAGTTCTTACCCCAGAAGCTGGGATCTTTGGGTTTATCAAATAGTAATTACCATAGTCACTGACTACTGTGTCTTGTGTACCTAACCTATTCCACTGATCCATCACTTAATTTCTTAGCCAGTACCAAGTAGTTTTGATGATTACTGCTTTATAATACAGTGTCAGATATGGAATGGCTAGGCCACCTACCCCTGTATTTCTCTTCATTAGTTCCCTTGATATTCTGGACCTTTTGTTATTCCAAATGAATTTTGTTATTATTATTTTTAATTATTATTATCTTTGTTATTACTTTTTCTAGCTCTGTAACATAATTTTTTGGTAGTTTGGTATGGCACTGAATAAATGAATTAATTTAGGTAGAATTGTCATTTTTATTATATTAGCTCAGCCCACCCATGAGCAACTGATGTTTTTCCAATTATTTAGATCTGACTTTATTCATGTAGAAAGGATGCTGATTTCTAAAGGGGATCACAGCATACATGGGCTGCTCTTCCCTACACTTGGTTTGACACCTTCAGAAGTTCCCCTCATGAGAGAGTTGTCATGCAGACCTGTGCAGCTTCCTCCCTGATGAAGGAGCATCAGGTGTACCTGTGTAGCCCTCCTTAACAGAAGGCTATCACATATACTTAATAGAAAAGGGTTAGGAAATCATGCAAGTTCACTTGATTTAGTTTGTGGTGGCTAAATTCTAGAAAATCATTTAATAATATAATGTTGATTGGTTGGCTGTTGTCCTTGGTACTCAGAGAGGGCCAAAATGATATCACTATGTCAAGGTCAATGTACAGTGTGTCTGACTGTGGCTGATTAGACCAGTATGAGCTCAGAAGGCTCTACCATCAGGTGGGCGCAAATAGTCTGTATGAACATTTGGAATGGAGATGTCTCTAAATTCGTGCATCTCCTATTTCTTTTGAGATATTTCTTATTTCTTCATATCTTCATATCTCTTTTCTGCTTCATTTATAGAGCGTAGCAACTTCTCTGATGTGGAGATGCATGTGCCCATGTTGGGCAGTCTTTTCCCAGTGCTTCCTATGTCTCACAATTGATTCCAACTTTCTTCAGAGAGACCTTGATAGTGTCCCTCTATTGCTTCTTCTGACTTTTGAGCACTTGCCTTGTGTGGGTTCTCCATAAAATCATCTTTTAGGCAAACATATATTTGGCACTTGAACAACGTGGCCGGCCCATCAGTAGAATTTGAATGCTTAGTAGTTCAGTTTGAGAAATGATCTCAGAGTATGGTCAGAACATGTGGGGATGGGTCTACTATAGACAAGGTGTGATTACAAAGTCCCAAGTCAGATGTTTAAGCAAACATGGAGAAATTCTGGACCTGGACCTGGACCTCTGGACCTTAGGAGCCATTCTTGTCAAATTAGTCACCTCTCTAAAATAAAGATAATAATAGCACCTGCTTCACAGGGTTGTTGTAATGGTCAAATGAGGCAACTTTGGTAAGGTCTTTGCAAACCTTGGAGGTAGGCTAAATGCTTTTTGCTCAAACTCTTGGGAGATTTCAGTGAAGTTACAAATAAAAATCTAACTGTGAAGATGTAATACCTGTTTTTCCCACTGAGATATTGTAGGAATGTGCCTATTTACCAAGCTCTAATGAGAGAAGAAATCTTTGAGAGTACCCTCTGAGAGCAGCATCCAATAATTATTTGTGCACAAAACTAAAGGAAAAACAATCAAGTTTAGGCATAAGTAGTGGCAGTTGGACATTTTACAATGTCAACTTCTAAGTTGACCTTAGAATCATCGAATCAGCTTTGACTGCCCTTCACCCTTTTCTCTTGGATACTTTCTCCTCTCTAGGTTTTCCTGATACTATTCTCTCCTGGTTCTCCTTCTACCTGGCTGACCAATCTTTCTCAGTATCCTTTGCTGATTCATCCAGATCATGCCTACTAAATGTGGATGGGCCCCAAGGCTCTGTCCGTGGTCCTCTTCTCTTCTCCCTCTTATACTCTTTCACTTGATGATCTCATCAGCTCCCAAGGATTCAACTTTATGCCGACAATTCTCAGATCTACTTTTGCAACCCAACTCTGCTCCTAACCTCCATTTTCATATCTCATGTTCACATCACATTTTCACATAAGTAATTACCTATGAGGCATCTAAAATTGTATGTCCTGTAGAAACCTTAAAGCCAACATGTCCAAAACTAAACTCATTATCTTTCCCTCCTAAACTCTGTTCTCTTTAACCTTCCCTATTGCTATTGAAGGTACCACCATCCTTCCATTCACACAGGCTTGCAACCTAGATGTCATTCTAGATTCCCCATTCTCTCTCAACTCCCTCTCTACCATATCCAATCCATTGCCAAGTCCTGTCAATT